ATCCTTATTTACCACAATTTTAAGGTTAATGGACTTACAGTGATTGGCTTCTAAGCCATCCACTTGTACTTACATTATACAAATCATGGTAACGATTGCAACTTTGATTAAAGATGCACAAATCACTGAAGTCTTAATTTATCACTGTACCCAATTTTTTGTTGTCTAAATATCTCTGTTTCTCTAATTAGTTCGGTTAATTGACGTTTTACCTGTATAGGCATCGTTGACTGTGATATCTACAGTCTGCTGTTTCTATAATAGTTTTTCTGAAAGTTGCTTCGTATTCTTCATATTCAATTCAAAATATTGATATATTTTTATCGATGACACAATAAGCAGTATCATTTTTGAAAATATCACAATTATGTTTCTTCATGAAATAATTTTAAATCTAGATTATTTTATATTACTTGTGTAACATTTAGATAGTACATTAGTATTAATTTCGAAGATAAATTGAACATTCCATGGATCATAATCGTGTTCACAAGAGAAACTAAATTTTTCATTCGTCAGACAGTTAAACGCACGTCCACCATAAGTAGAATCAGTAAGGTATGATCAGACAGTTAGTCAGACTTTTGACATGGGAAACGCTTATTACAATGCTTGAGTATTGCACACATTGTTGCTTAAAACTCTCGTGTTATTAATGTCGCGAAATTTATTAAGACAAACGTTTGTCGCAAATATAATATGTGTAACTTATTGTCCCACCTTATCATACCAGTACAAACATGAAAACAATATTCTAGTATAGATTCAGTATTTTTAAAGCAAGTTTGTAGATTTCTGGTTGAAAAACGCTATTGACAATGACGAATTAGTGTTGCATTTTTAAACCTTAATTACTACACCTATTAATGGAAAATTTAAAATAATTTTTCTAATCCATTTTATATAACCTAGTGCATTTTATACGCGTGAAATTGAATTTTGTGACTCACGCAACAGTTACGCTTCATTAATGTTCTATAAATATAAACAAATTTGATTAATAAAATTATTTTGAAACGTGACATAACAACTTTTAATGACGTCTTACTGGAATGCAAATGGCTGAGACTTACGAAACTACTTTTACTACTTAATAAAGAGATTCAAGTTCAATAGAATAGAAGCAAGTATATTAAAAACATTCCTTTCTTATCATTTTTCTTACAATTATGAATAAGAATTACGAATAAAAATTAATAGGTAATTAAATAGCGATCTGACAGACTGGCAATAGTAGTTCAAAATAATTAAACTAGTACTACACGTGTTTCTTTCGGACACATTTTTCTTCGTTAGCATCACCGAGGCGCAGCATTCATGCGATCGTGGACTGGAAAGTGGAAAATTCTTAACGAACACTCGGCAGATGAAGGGTCAGCTATGACCCAGGCATATACGTGCACATATTGTTAACAATAACTTAAACAACGTCACCGAAACTAAGAAATTTGAATTCCGAACATTCGTCTGTTGTAGCTAAGAGAATTGGTTGAGGCTCGAGTCGGTCGAAGTTCGAGTCAGCAGAAGTTCGAGTCGGCAGAATTTCGAATCGGTTGAATCTACATTCGGAATCGATTAACCTACATGAACTGTTATCCCGGGAACGAAGAGGAAGAATTGGCCAGGGGTGCTGCGTGCTCTAGGTCAATAGCTGTAACACGATTCCGGCGGAGCAGCTAATTCGTTGCCGGCATATCAAGTGCCGGGAGTCCTTGCAGAAGGATTACGCGAAACGAATACCTTAAGGAACCAACGAATATAATTGAATTTCGGGCAGGAACCGTGCCGTATTTCTATTCCGTGCGCGGCCACGGCAACATGTTTCAATTTGTCGTAAACGTGTAAAAGCTTCGACCTCGAAAAAAGAATCTTGTACCGGGGTTTCGTGACTCGTTCGAAGTCATCGATGACCTATATCGAAGATCGGGTCTCTCTTTAAATAATGACTAGACTGCGGATCTTCATGCAGAACGAAAGTTGTCGCAGTTCGCTGCAAGAAACGTAGCTCGGATGGAGATATTTTTTTCTCTCTTAAAATACTTGAAAATAATGCAACAACATCCCTAACTCCCTCGCCATACTTTGACGAGTCTGACATGTGACGGAGATTTCTAATAATAATAATGATAATAACCTGTTCGATACGAATGATATTCTGCTCTTTTCAGTCTGAATAAGATTCTGATTTCTTGTCATCAATGTTTAAACATTTCAATAAATGCAGACACACGATAAATGTAAATTGTCCTCTTTCTTCTTAGGAATTGTTGCAATCGAAAAACTTCTAATTATTGGAACAATGAAGGCAATGGTACGGCAAGCGATTAAGCTTGAAAAGACAATAGAAGAATCTGTTCGTTTTTGCCATAAATAAAATTCACAGTTTAATTGAGAGCCCTAGTGGAAAATGTTAATATTTATGTTCACCGTTAACCCATTACTGGTAACACATGTCTCTGAGAATGCTTGTAAAATTGTTACCGATTTACGATCATTTATTAGTGTTTTAAGATAAAAATACTGAACAATATATACACATGTTTAGTTAAGGATTAATCATCGATGCATTAACGATTATTGTTTACGATTGTAGTGGTTGATGCTTTTGAGACACAGTCTAAAGATTATTTTTCCAAGAAATGTTTTATATTTAAATTTAACATAAGGTGAAATACCGAGACCTCTGAATAAATAACATAGCAATAAAGTAAATTCTCCCTAAATGATGCTCAGATTGTGCACAAAAATGGATAATTTGGGAAGAGGAGATACGATTATTCGAGCCTTGTCGCTTTTATAGTTGTTGATAATTGATTACTATAAAAACGAGCCGTAAGGCTCGAATAATCGTATCTCCTCATCCCAAATAGCCCATTTTTGAAGTACAATCCGCGCGTCAATTAGGGAGAATTTACTGTAATTCGTTCGTGTAATATACACGAAAACGGTGAAATACGCGAAGTAAAAACTGATGCATGAAATACGTTCGCGTATTTTTACTTCGGTGAAAAATGAAAGAAAGATTTATGCTGACGATAAACTCACATAAACCATGAGACGTTGCTGCCAAGAACGAAGATATAGTTGTTTCACGCCTCCTTTGTGGTTGACTGAAGTTCAAGAATAGAAAATCGTCCACGACGATAGAAAAGCTCGACCTTTTGCTCGAGCCGTCGAGAAAATCGCCCGCGACATGATCGAATAACCAAAAACAAATAAATTAGATTTCTCCGAATCACGCGACTTCTGCCCCGTCTAACCTNTCGGTTGAATCTACATTCGGAATCGATTAACCTACATGAACTGTTATCCCGGGAACGAAGAGGAAGAATTGGCCAGGGGTGCTGCGTGCTCTAGGTCAATAGCTGTAACACGATTCCGGCGGAGCAGCTAATTCGTTGCCGGCATATCAAGTGCCGGGAGTCCTTGCAGAAGGATTACGCGAAACGAATACCTTAAGGAACCAACGAATATAATTGAATTTCGGGCAGGAACCGTGCCGTATTTCTATTCCGTGCGCGGCCACGGCAACATGTTTCAATTTGTCGTAAACGTGTAAAAGCTTCGACCTCGAAAAAAGAATCTTGTACCGGGGTTTCGTGACTCGTTCGAAGTCATCGATGACCTATATCGAAGATCGGGTCTCTCTTTAAATAATGACTAGACTGCGGATCTTCATGCAGAACGAAAGTTGTCGCAGTTCGCTGCAAGAAACGTAGCTCGGATGGAGATATTTTTTTCTCTCTTAAAATACTTGAAAATAATGCAACAACATCCCTAACTCCCTCGCCATACTTTGACGAGTCTGACATGTGACGGAGATTTCTAATAATAATAATGATAATAACCTGTTCGATACGAATGATATTCTGCTCTTTTCAGTCTGAATAAGATTCTGATTTCTTGTCATCAATGTTTAAACATTTCAATAAATGCAGACACACGATAAATGTAAATTGTCCTCTTTCTTCTTAGGAATTGTTGCAATCGAAAAACTTCTAATTATTGGAACAATGAAGGCAATGGTACGGCAAGCGATTAAGCTTGAAAAGACAATAGAAGAATCTGTTCGTTTTTGCCATAAATAAAATTCACAGTTTAATTGAGAGCCCTAGTGGAAAATGTTAATATTTATGTTCACCGTTAACCCATTACTGGTAACACATGTCTCTGAGAATGCTTGTAAAATTGTTACCGATTTACGATCATTTATTAGTGTTTTAAGATAAAAATACTGAACAATATATACACATGTTTAGTTAAGGATTAATCATCGATGCATTAACGATTATTGTTTACGATTGTAGTGGTTGATGCTTTTGAGACACAGTCTAAAGATTATTTTTCCAAGAAATGTTTTATATTTAAATTTAACATAAGGTGAAATACCGAGACCTCTGAATAAATAACATAGCAATAAAGTAAATTCTCCCTAAATGATGCTCAGATTGTGCACAAAAATGGATAATTTGGGAAGAGGAGATACGATTATTCGAGCCTTGTCGCTTTTATAGTTGTTGATAATTGATTACTATAAAAACGAGCCGTAAGGCTCGAATAATCGTATCTCCTCATCCCAAATAGCCCATTTTTGAAGTACAATCCGCGCGTCAATTAGGGAGAATTTACTGTAATTCGTTCGTGTAATATACACGAAAACGGTGAAATACGCGAAGTAAAAACTGATGCATGAAATACGTTCGCGTATTTTTACTTCGGTGAAAAATGAAAGAAAGATTTATGCTGACGATAAACTCACATAAACCATGAGACGTTGCTGCCAAGAACGAAGATATAGTTGTTTCACGCCTCCTTTGTGGTTGACTGAAGTTCAAGAATAGAAAATCGTCCACGACGATAGAAAAGCTCGACCTTTTGCTCGAGCCGTCGAGAAAATCGCCCGCGACATGATCGAATAACCAAAAACAAATAAATTAGATTTCTCCGAATCACGCGACTTCTGCCCCGTCTAACCTTCGTCTCCGTCTCTTTTGTTACAGTATTCTGGAGTTGCGCAAGGAGAAGAGCAGAGATGCTGCCAGATCTCGACGGGGGAAGGAGAACTTCGAGTTCTACGAGTTAGCGAAAATGCTGCCATTACCGGCGGCTATTACCTCCCAGTTGGACAAAGCCTCCATAATAAGGCTAAGCATCTCGTACCTCAAACTTCGGGAGTTCTCGGGTCACGGAGACCCGCCATGGAATCGAGATGGGCCTCCGCCAAATAAACCTGTCAAAGGTAAGCGGTTAGGCTTCGTTAACCTATTGAGACCCTTTTCCAAGTAGCTTCCGTATGATTTTCGACGGTTTTTTGGCTTAACGCCTAAGTCAACCCTTCGCATTGGACAACATTTCAACTCGAAATCCAAAATAGCTTTTCTGATCTACAATATTTCCATTTTACACAACATATTGCATTCTGTGCATACGAAATTGAGTCCTGCGACGCGTGCAAGAGTTAAGCTTTTAACAGTTTTCAAAATACAAACAAAGATAATGTCAAAGTTTTTTTGGAACGTGATAGACGCAAACAGTTATTTTATTTATTGGCATGATCTTGAGATAACCTTAAAATTACAGTATTTCATCCAATCAAACTAAAATTCAGAATTAAGTTGTGTAACATCAATTATTTTATAACGCATTGCGTAGCTTAATAGTATCCTTTACACTTGAATGGCGATTCTGTGGCACGAATAAAATTTTCCACATTGTAGTTTTAAACAACTTTTACGCTAATTAAATTTGTGTGTATCTAATAAACTGCTAAAAATTTATATGTGGCAAGAGTAAGTGTTCAATTCTATTTTGCAGTTGAAACATCTTCGACTGCAAGGGGTTAATTTTCAAATCTGAGTGAATAATTATGTCACCCACGTATGGGTGATGCGACAGTTAGTGTCAAAGTTGTTCAAATTATAAAGACTCTTGCATACGAAACAATTGAATAAATTTCTTAATCCAAGCATACAATATGATAAAAATGGTGGGAGATCTAAACGAATTCATTCAAATTAATCGTGTTTCCAAAGTTAACTGTAGCACTGTGGAGACAACATATAAAATTGACGTACCAGTCCACGTGTTTCAGATAAATCAACATAGTAGAGATAGTCTTCTACATAATAGAGATAAATACTATTAATATTTACTATTATTCAATATACGCTCTTTACTTTACCAAATGATCTGATTATTTTATGTATTCGAACAATTTTTATTCGATCATATCTTATGTGCAATGATTTAAAAACAACTCGATAGAACCTGTCATTGTTAACGATTGCAGAAACGAAACTATTATACCGAAGCAACTCTTTTGTATCAATTCGTTTCTATTTACAATTCCATTACTTAAACATTTTATTAAAAATAAATAGGTAGTATTTATAATATTTATAATTTATACAAGTAGTTCCTGACTTCTATCATTCAATATTAGTTGGAATTTAGAACACTGACACTTTAAAAATTCTCTGATCAAGAAGCAAGAAACAATTAATATCAATAAAATCACAGATCAAAGTCCTTAATCTAATCTAAAATTACAATTTCGATATATTTTTATATTTCAATAAATTTCAATGTAACTAGATTATAATATTAGGATATGAATGTTATATTTGTAGCGCCTAGGAAAGTCTACAGATGAAAATGAAGTATATTAACATTAACAATCAGGAACCAAGTTTTCAACAATTAAGCTAAATTCGAAAGAAACTTCTGGCTTTCGCAAATCTTTCACGGCTGCAGCAATGTGGAAACTGCACAGATTATTGGACCCCTGCTTATTAGAAAGTGTATCTGCTCGTGATATCTCCTGATGGATCAGCATTTAACCCCGGTAGGGGGGTCGATTCGCCGTTGAAGATCGACGACCGTGCACTCGCCTGGCGAAACGTGTCGTCGGGGTGAAAGCATTGGAGAAAGTCAAGTTTATTGCAAAACGAAACTGTCATTGAAACGCATCACAAATAGTTCGATTCCTAGCATGCAGATTAAAATCTGTTCAACACAATAGTGTCCTTTTAGCTACAGAATCTTATTGGAGTCTCTTAAAATTAACCCTAAAGTGAGTACCAATAAAAATTTCTGAAATCTGTCGCATAGAAAATATTTGGATTAAAATTTTTTTCCTTTAACTCCTTAAGTAGAAATGACGAGCTCACTCACAAACGTCTTCTGTACCAAACTCGAATTTGATGGGCGACGCATATTGAAATGGTTAAAAACCATATAAATTTCATCTAACTGTTAAAAAAAAAATTATGATATTTACACATTCTCTTACTTCTTTTTCTGTCTGAAATTAAGTTATTAAAAAGAAATTTAAATAGTTCGTAAATTTTATTCACAATAATTTCGATTATGTTAGAAATTTTTTTCTTAATTTCATTGTAACTTAAACAGGATACTTTAAAATTTTATTTAATATTATCATTATTTTATTAATCTGTTCTATTACAAAGGAAATAGTGTCCACATTTATAAATATGTGAAATAACAACAGAAATATTTTAGTTTTATATTTTTCTTTGAAAATAAATCGTGATGCAAGGGATTAAAACACTTTAAAATAATTACTTATTATCATCTGCATATTTAACCCTTTACACTCAAATGGCGACTCTGAAGCGCGAATAAAAATTACTATACCACGTTACAAAATAATTTTGACATTATCAACTTTGTATATATTTAAAATACTATCAAAAGCTTCGTTTGTGCCAGTAGCTTCAATTTCACATGTATCACCTGCAATAAATCATGTAAAATAAAAATACTGCAAGTTAGAAAACGTGTTTTGTATTTCGAATTAAAAAGCTTTGAGAGCAAAGGGGTTAACATTAAGATTGGATCGTTATTTTCACTTTAGTAAATCTGTGTTTCTTATAAATAACGGAGAAATCAAATAATATCAGTGAATGTCAACTACTAAGTTAAAATTCTAATATAAATTAATTTTTATTATTCTATTATATTAATTCTAAATAGTAACTTATATATTTGTCACATTGAAGTAAAATAATAAAGCTTCCCAACGTTTCAATAGAATTAAATAAAAAACCTAACAAGTTTGCATACTGTAAAATGTATATGAATCAATATTCCTATTTATATGAAATAATAAAGTTGGTATTGATTTAACACTCTGCTCTTATTTAAATTCAATTTTAGTAAAGTTCTCCAGGAAAATATTTTTCATAAAACTAGGGATGAGATAAATATGCACCTGTTCTCCCGCATATTTATACTCCCGCAATATATTATATTTATATATTATATTTATTATAAATTATACTTATATATACTCCCGCAATAAGAACTGAACACAAAAAATGCATAAAGTCGCTTGTCCACTAACAATCACGGTAAAAATAGCGCAACTCTAATCCAACGAAACAATCGAACTACCCCGGAGTGTAAGGTAATTTAATAAAAGTAGAAAGAGCAAAGCAATTTCCGCAGTGCCGCGACTTAATAGCCAAACGATAGAAACAAACGCCGTGAATCAGCCGTATCGTTGATCCATCGAGATACGAAGGGTGGGTTCTGAATTCCAAAGGAAATTCACGGTACACCGGTATCGAATTAACTGAACAATGGTTGTCCGGCAACGTTCTTAAGAATTCGCGTAAGCAACCCGACAATAGATCGAGCTTCGCGATACCCTTTATAACTCGGGTGACCACGCAGCCGGCACGAGATTCTCGGATACATAGTAATAGAGAATTGTCGGCTATGATCGAGCGATACCATCGCCATTGGCTTTCTTCATTTTCGTGGTTCATTTAACGAAAATGGAAGGCGACGATCCGGTCCGGACGAAAGCATCTTCTCTGCTTAACTGGTGGACACTGAAACGTTGATAGCACCCTCGGTTCGAAATCAGACTTTATTATACAAGGTGCGGAGAGAATTCTGTCCGTGTATCTGTATGTTTATATTTAGCTGCTTCGGAAATAAGGACACTTCGATTTAATATTCTATTGTACAGTGGAGCATGAATAATTATAGACTCAAAATAATTTTTATATTTTTGGCGATGTTTAAACAAAAATTTTGGCAAACATCATTTTATATATTTTTATATTAAAAGTGATAGAAATATATAAATATAGTATTTTTTTAATTTTTGTTTAAATATCAGTAAAAATGCAAAAGTTACTTTAAGTTTACAATTATTCATAGCATCGTAGGTGGCCTCTTTTAGCTGAGACACTCTACATGTAAAAACATATAATTCGTATATTAGGAATAATAGAAAATAAAAATATACAAATATGGTAATTTTTTAAGTAATTATCCGCTTTGTATTATTATCATTTTGAAATTAATTAAAAAAGATATACAGTGGCGGCCAACTATTTAAGACCGCTTGGTAATTGAAGAAATGGAGATTGTTCATGCTCCATAAATTGAATATGTTGCATATGAGACACTAATGTTATACGAGCTAAAATATATTGAACCATATTACGAAAATAATTTTACATTCAAGTTATGATCTACAAATATTTTCAATATTTTCTTATATCGTGTCATCAAAATAGCGGACTTAAGAACAAATAAAAATATATACTACAAAAACGAAAAGTTTTAACTTTATATAATAGACACGCTAATTTCAACAAATTTAATTTGGAAAATAATTACTAATACGTGACTTTGCCTTGTTGTTTACGAACTCCATCATATCTTGCTATGGAATTAATGAAATCATGACAATACTTCGGAGCAATATAATGCTATCTTTCTTCAATTGGTGAGCAAAGTTAGTACACAATTTCATGTGCTTTTTATCATTAACATATTCGTTCACTTCTATCCACAACATTTCAATCGGGTTCGTTCAACAATTATTTCTTTATTCACCAAACAGTCTCAAGTAGTTGGCTACTACTGCAAATATCAGATAAAATCGACGCGTAAACTAAGCATATTATCATAAACTTAAATCTCGGTGTAGACATCGAAAACTAATTAAATCCTGACGAACTGAAGGCATTGATCGTATAAAACGTTGATATGCTCAGTAAGCTCACAGCAATTGGCGAAAGCAACATAAATTCGAGCAACAAAATCCGGTCTCTCCAATCAAAACGAAGCTGTCAGGTTCCATGTGATCTCGCAGCGGAGAAGAGCGAAAATAAGAATTCACTTATTCATCGGCACTACTTTCGGAACGGGGAGTGGTTGGTTGAGTTAATATTTGTCGTGGCGCGGGTGGCGAGTTGG